TTTGACACCCAGAAACAACCTGCAAAACACTTGTCTGAAAACCTGCCTTAACTTATCACTACACATTTTAAAGTGAAACGTTTTTACATGTAAAAAAGACACTGATTTTTTGCATTAAAAAATTTTTATTTCATTTAAAAGATCCAATATATGAAGCCAAATTAACCCCAAATTTACAGCTACATTTAGAGATCTCATGAACTAAATGGCACTGTTCGAGGTCACCTATCATCACTATTTCCCCAAAGTTGTTTTTGAGCAAAAGCTGGTATTACTGTAATACACGTATTTCAGATATCATCGTTCACACAGAAGTTAAAGGCTGACAGGCTTTTCCCTTCTGGGCGAGGATAAAAATACCACAGAACCAGGTCCAGGGTTTTTCTGCACATTAGGTGTATGTAACTATAAAGTAACTCAAGGTGCTGTGGTTTGCTCGTGTATTTATTCCAAATACTGGAGTTGGTCAACACTTTCTGGTACAGTACTTCAGAGAATTTCCCTCTTCCAGTGCAAAGCACACCAAAGGAAGTGGGTTGCTCAAGCTAGGGACAAACTACCACAAAGCAAAGGAATAGCTTTCCTAGTTGGCCAGCAACAGCACAAACCACCTCCCAAATGTTTTCAGTTATGGCATCATTTACATAAAGTGGTCTCTACATACATATGAGGATAAATTAAAAGATGAGTTTGTTACTTTATAGCTACACCTTAGATTTCATTAGATGTGGAGACAATGTGTCTAATGAGTCCTTCTGGAAATCACTTCAGCAAATGAGTCAACAGCCTGTGAAAGAGAAGACGTGGCAGAGGGTGGAAGATTCATTCTTCCAACACTCTCTTGGAGGACAGAGCTGGGCCCAGGACAGAAGTTACCAGGAGGGAAGCTTCAACTCCATTAAGGAGCCCTTCCTAACAGAGCTGCTCAACAATGAATGCACTGCTTGTGAGGTAGAGTCACTGCAAGTGTTCAAGGTGGAAAGACAACCTTGGAGAAGGGACGCCTGCATTTGTTAAGAGGTTAGACTGGATGAACCTCAGGTCTCTTTCAATTCTGAGATTCTAGAAAATTCCCTCAGGGAATTCAGAAGCGAATTCCTAAAAGGAAAGAGAAAGCACACATATGGTATACTTTTAGAATCCTCTTGAGTTTTTTTTTTTTTAAAGGTACAATAGAAAAATGTAGTCTAAGTTCTTTAAAATGCATATTTACCCTTCTACCACTATTAGGAAGGGTTCATTACAACTTCTTTATATTATAAAGAAAAGATGGAGTTTATATTTATAATTTTGTAAATATTTTAGAAAAAAATGCTTAAAATCTAGTAGTCAATGCCCTAGAAACTTTATAGATTTTTAAGTAATATGCACAGATACAAATACATTATTCATTAAATACAACTCACATCTGTGTTTTATTATACTCTAAAATATACAGGAATCTTGATGTACTGAAAGAGTGCAAGTAAATACAGTATTCAAGCAGTCACTATTTCTATGTACATGCTCATTAATTCTTCAAAAAACCCACAAAATTATCAAATAGATCAAAATACTGTTCTGTGTTTTCACACTTTATATTCAGAAAAACCAGCTGATAATTTACAATGTCATAAAGTTCCAGTTTCACAATACAAAAAGGGTAAGATAAATGGGGTATCATTTTGTTGCAATGTATGGAACTTTATCCAGCTCTATTAAGACCCCCCCCCCATGAAATCATTTTTACTGAGAAAGTGACAGTTACAATAAAAGCAGAGCCACAGAGAAGTGTTTAAAAGCCTAATTCAGCCCCTTCTCTATTACCTGAAAGGCAGTCTTCAATTTGGCAGGAAATCTCTCTCCGACAGAATCAAGCTGCAAACACACTACTCTAGGTCTGAGTCAAACCTAAAACCTGAAGTCGTTTAAATTTTGCCCAATATAGAAATGCCTTCCAAGTGACCTGATTCTGTTTATGTTATGAATTATCATCTACAGCAAACTTCTAAATTTCTGAAAATGAAGCCAAATGGTTTGATGTTGATTTTTATAAAGAAAAGATCTGAAGTCGGGCACGATAGTGTACACCTTTAGTCCCAGCACTCAGGAGGCAGAGGCAGGTGGATCTCTGAGTTCAAGGCCAGCCTGGTCTACACAGTGAATTCCAAGACAGTCAGAGCTACACAGAGAAACCCTGTTTCAAAAAACCCAAAAAACCAAAAAAGCCTTCCTGCTGTATTAAACCATGACAGAAAGCAGATGTCTTTTTTCTTTTATATAAAAACTTTAAAATTCCAGTTTTTATATAATTTAAAACCAGCTTTAGATGATCTCACATAACAAAAGTTTAAAACTTTTTAATTTTGTTTCTTGCAAAGCTTAAAGATTAATAAATGATAATGAAGTCCTCCAACCCAAAGTGTGCCACCCAGCAGAGGCTCAAACAGTCCCATTCCCCAGGACCACTGGGATACAATATGTGAGATAATCTGATTTTTAATTTCATCAAAAAAATTTTTTCCCCTATAGAATTCCTTAAACAAAAAGTTCAATTTAAAAGTGAACTACTCAAAAGCCCTGACCTAAGCTTCATTTTTGTCACAAACACTTCTACTCACACCGCACCTAGTCAGCTGGTTTTGAATTCAATAAAAACTGGAATCTTAGAATTTTTACATTAAAAAAAAACATAAAATGGCATCTGCTTTCTGTCATGGTTTAATATAGCACTGGAAGGCTTTCAGATGTCTTCCTTACAAAAATCAACACCAAACCAAATGATAGCTTCATTTTCAGAAGTACTGAAGTTTGCTTTAGATGTTTAATTTCACCTATTTCTGTTTCATAAAATGGCGCTCTAATAAAAAAAAACCTGTACGTTATTTGGTCCTTTGGCAATTTGGTGTATACATAATGCCTACTATACCAAACTTTTATTGCATTTAAATTTAGCTGTAATTTTATGGGTAAAATTTAACCTAGTGTCTTTATCTCTTCCTTTACAGCAGTGTTGCCTGTGTAAGCAGATCAAGGGGCAGTGTCCCAAATTTCTGGCACTGCAAAGCCAATTAAACAATCCCACAAAGCAATCGACATCAATGTGTTTTCCATTGGTCAAGTCATTATTAAGATTCTAGAGGTTCCTTTTGCAAAACTTGCCTTTAAGATTCTTCTTCCTAATGTCATCACATTTCTTCTATTGGTTCACTGCGTGATCTTTCTTTAGGATGAATTTGTGTATGAGTAAGAAAAGTGCTTTTTTTTTTTTTTTTCCTGAAAAAGCCCGGTTTGAAGTTTCAGTGTCAGAACTTCCTTAGACCTCTAACTCAGCCTTTCAGTAGGTCTCAGAATCAGAGTCGTTGAGCTCGTCCACATCGGTGTACAAGTACTCTTGTTCCCCACCAATGTTGTTGAAACTGCAATAGGAGCTAGGTTCATTCCTCATGATAGGCAAGGCTTCGAAGCTAACAGTTTTTGAGGTGTTGGTATAACGGTTAATAGCATTGAATGTCAGGGATGACAATGGACTACTAGACGAGACAGGCATCATGGTGGCCAATATGAGAGCCAGGCAGTCAGCCACATCTTTATTGGGAGCACAGGCCAAAGCTGGGGTATAACCTAGGATTCAATTTAAAATGTAAAATTAGTATCTTAAGATCTATGAAGCATGAGGTAGTAGGTCTAAAGGTCTTAAACTTTACACATAGACTCTATGGCTTACAACAAATTATTCCAACAGATTGATTCACAGCTTTCTAGTAAACAGAAAGAGACACAATCATAAAGCAGGATAACTCTGTGTTGATGAAGGTTCCCCACTGGTGACCTGTTTATCCTCTAATACCCTTGGACATGCTTCACAGTAATGTAGTTCACAAGTTAAAAAATGTCAATCTCATTTTATAACTATGTGTAGTGATAGTTGTAAATCAGTCTAGTAACAACAGGTTGATGAAAATTATGTTTTGAAGACTAAATAAAGACAAGGTAAAGGGACCAGTATGTTCTGTGCCTTTGTTTACTCCCAAGAATGGGATTAGTGGTATTGAGGTGGGTTTTCTGAAAAAGAAGGAACATGTTACATATTTGTGAAATGTTCTTAAGGAGTTTCTCATGTAACTATACCAGCTCATGTAGGAGAGAGAGAGGTTTCTGGTTTCATAAGCCTACAAATAATGATGAGAGATATGTTCCCACTCATTCAGGGCATCATGTCCTATCTATGATTTAGCTCTGCTTGGCATCAGGGTAACAGTAGCTGGCACCTTCACATTTTCAGAAGAGCCTTAAAAATATGTGAGAATAAAGGACTTGCTCACACATTTTAAGAAAGTAATCTAATTAAAACATGCACATCCCTTTGTTTGTTCTTCTGAGACAGGGTTTCTCTATGTAGTCCTGGTTGTCCTGGAACTGGCCTCAAACTCAGAAATCCACCTGTCTCTGCCTCCTGAGTGCTGGGAATAAAGGCATGTAGCAAACCACTGCCCCACTTCTTTTTCATTTCTTAAAAAGACAAGATGAATTCCTACAGTCAACAAAGACATACATAATGTGCAATATGTGACCCTCATTTTAATCTATACAAGTAGCTGTATTTCTAGAAATACCTAGATTTTGTTTTTGTGATTCAGAGCTATACATTTAATTGCTCAGTTTCATTCAGCTTTCCATATGTCCCCAGATAAATTTAACACATGGTATTCTTGGCTCAATGGCATTTAAAATGTGGTCCACACAAGTTCCCAAGCCATAGTGGATATGACTTCACCTACAAAAACTTACCACTCCTTCACAAAATACCAAAGAACCTATGATCATACACTCAAGAAAACACCTACTATTTTTCATTCTAAGTACCTCATCCCAATGCTGGTGGCCATTTATGCTTCTAAGTCTTATTTCCCCCATTCTAGTATTGCTGTTCCCCTTTCCAACAGACATCTTTGCAATGTTTAGACTCCTAACAACCTGATATAACATTTGCACTCATCTCAAGTCTTATCTCTCAACAGGCTTATTACTCTTTCATCTTAGAAGACTCTCTCCCAAACTAGCACAGACACTTGGAACTGGACAATATGCAGACTGAGACTTTAGAGCACTTAATACTAAATGGAATGTCTTCATCAAACCTCTTTTCTCAAAGGCTCAAGGATCTCTGTGGAAGAGGAGGGACAGGTTGTAAGAATAAGAGGAGGCCAGCCTGGACTACAAAGGGAATTCCAGGACAGCCAATGTTGTTACACAGAAAAACCCTATTGAACCCCTCCTCCAAAGGAGCCATAGAAGATGGGTAACTCCATGGAACATGTCTTGCAGACACAACAGAACTGATACACACATGAATTCAGAGACTGTGGCTGCATGCACAAAGCCTACACATTTCAAGACAAGTAGGGCATCAACACTGAAGGGAAAAGTAGACAGGGCTCCCACCTCTAACCAAGAAATGATCTGCAATTTATAACCACTGACAAAGGAAAAATTAGTTTTTCCCACTAATTAAGCATATTTCAGTGAAGGCCCTATGCCTATGAATAGCTGGACAACAACCATTATTTTTGTATTATTAAATATAAAAATACGTTTTATATTTTGTAGATTTTTTTGTCTCATTTTCTGAAAGACTATTTGTCTCATCTACTCTGAAAAGAAAACAGAGGATTCTAAACACACAAAAGAAAAGCAACCTTTTGGCTCCTGTTTAAGAGACGGCTTCCTGACTTAGCATTAGTGGCAATAACTGTGCAGCTGCTGCCAAACACTTATTAGGTGATTAAGAGCAGCCAGTGGCATTCTACTCGGTGACAGTATGGACCCAGAAACTCCCCAGAGTTGAGATGGTAAACATGGCTTCCTCCAGTACCTCTGCTATGAAGCTAAGCTCTCACATACCAAGGACCTGGGCAAAGTCAGCTTCTAAAGCCTCTACTTTAGTCCTAGCCACACCCACAAGAAGCAAAAAAGCAAAAAAAAACCTTTAATTTTACAATGTGTTTAAAAATATACCTAGGCTCAGGAGACAAAAAGAGAAGGTATAGACAGTCATAAAAAATATATAGTTTTAAAATATAAAAAGTAAGTGAGGTAATATAAAAAAGCCACGTAAAGATGGAAAACACACAGAAGAGTCTGGACACTGTATGTTACCATGTTGTCTTTGAATTGTTTAACTACTGAGGAAGGAGTAACAGCTGCAAAGAGACATTTGATTATAAATGTTGCTGGATTAATTCAGCCTATGTATATTGAAAATGCCTTGGCTTCAAAATTTAAGTAAATGATATGTTACTTTGGAGAAGAGGTTATGTTTTTGTTTCCACAGGAAATGAGAGGCTGAGGATTCATTCTGGGTTAAGAAAAATAAGGTTTGATGGGGGAAGACCCCTGAAAAATCACCGATGGGAATGGATGGCCCAGATGTTACAATGTTTAAGAGCACCTCTGTTGCAGTTTCCTCTGAGTATTTGCTTTGAACTTTTTTTGTCTTACTGTTCTTTTGCTTACTTATTTTGATTTCCAGTTTTTTTTTGTGTGTTTTTGTGTGTCTTTTCTGTTTATTTTTAAGGAGATGGGAAAAGGTAGAGAAGGAGGGAGGGAGCGAGGGAGTATAAGATTGGGTGAGTGGGGAGATAGGGAGGGTCTGGGAGAAATTGGGAAGGGAAAACATGATCAAAATACATTACATGGAAAAAATTATCAATAAAAAAGGTTTCCTCCCCACTTGCTGATGTTTTGGAGTATCTTTTATCAGATCTTGTAAGGAGGAGTCAAGATTCTTTAATGTTCCTTGATAGGGAGTAGACTACATCATACTTATTCCACACAGAAGTCTCACCCTTAATATAGTTTTGACATAATTAAACATGCAACAAGCATTCACTGAACTCCCGAACTCTTCTGATACTTAGAAAACATCGGTGAACACAGATGACAAAGATTCTCTGCTTTTATGGAGAGTATATTCATTTTAGTGGAGGAGACACACATCAACACAAATAAGTACATCATATTCACTGAGTTAAACTATAATAAGCTTTACTCAGAATGAGAGATGAATAGGCTAATTGGGACTAAGAATGCTACAATACAGTTAATTAGCTTCATGGAGAAGATAAAAACTGAGCTATGATTTGAAAGAGGTGAAGGACTTAGTCAAAGGATACTAGCAGATCAGAGTGTTCCAGGCAGAACACAAAGCTAAAACAAAACTATAATGCATCCAGAGACTCTATGGTAGTTTTGCTAGAGGGGGGAAACAAGCAAAAAGTCACAAGAGTAGAGTACTTTGTAGGTCACTGTGAGAACTATGAATATGCTGACAGGAGAAAAATGATGCATTTTAAAAATATCTGTGAGAGTAGCAAGCAGAGAGAAAGAGACAAATAACTGGATTTATTTTAAAGGTAATGAGTAGCATTTGCTGGTACAGTGACCATGAAAAAGGAACCACGGACAATTCAAATTCCTGCCTTGAGCTATAAAGGACTGATTTTCAACTGAAATCAGGGTTAGAAGGGCAAGTTTGGAGCGGGTAAGGAAAAGGGTTGACAGTTCTATTTATTAGACATTTATATGGCATTATTAATAAAGCATTAATTATTAGAATTATTATTAAATTATTAAAAATTAATAGATATATGTGAATGCAGACATTGGGGAAGGTGTAGGCAGGCAATATAAATTTAGGGCGTTTCAGCAAATAATTAGACATTAGAATTCTATATTAGTGTAGAACCCCTAAAAGACAAGTAAAGGAAGTTTATAAAGAGAAAAGGAGTGATCACATACTAAAAGTTGACCTGCCAAGTGAAACAAGAACTGACTTAATACTGTGCAGAACCAAGAACCTTGATGAGAAGACTTCTACAGTGTGGTGGAGACAAAAGCCTATCTATAGAAAGTCAATCCTTGAGTAGCTCTCCTGAAGTGGAAGACAGAAAAACAGTGGCAGCTGGAAGAAGTTGTGAGGTTGATTGCTGAGGTTGACTGGGGAAGCTGGGGATGCAGCTCAATGATAGAGTACTTGTAGAATATGCACAGGCTCTGAATTGGATTCCAACACCACAAACACATAAAGTGATATACTGATAGGGAGTAATCGTTAAAGTCATAGTCTCTAATAGGAGAAAAGTTACAGAACCTAATTTAAGAGTAGAAGGACTGACTGGCTTTGTCTAAGAATATGTTTTAGTAGCGCCTTGGTAAACATTTGTTGAAAGAACAAAATCTTTGGCTACCAAAATAAATAACAGTGATAACCAAATAGCAAACATCAAATTTGGTTTAATAGAAGATACATGAATTCAGAAGCTTGCCTACCAGATGGACTTTCCTTGTTTCTTTTGCTCTTATTTCTCTACTACAAAAAACTTAATATTTACTTCAGCACTCTTCTTTGCCCAAAACAAAAAGCACCAAACTTCGTTTTATTTCAAAGATGCACCATCAAGAGAAAAACTTCTTCTAAGAAATTGGCCAAGGGAAGGGTACATGGTGCTTACTTACCATTTTCATCGACGGCAAGTACACTTGCTCCTTTCCCCAGAAGCTCTTGAACAACCATTGTTAGCCCATTTCGGGCAGCAACATGCAGAGGCCTGTGGGGAAAAATTGTACATATATGTGCAGTGCATGCACAAAGACATACCTGGCTGCAAATAACATCTGGCCAAGTTGTGAAGACCTAGAGATAAGAATTTGTGCCCCATATTGGGCAACACATGTATCAATACTTTCTTCTCAGTGCCACCAGCCTAATCTCCATACTGCGCATCCTGCTTCCTCTGTGTCTGGTTGGTGACTCTGCCTTCCTTCTTCCCAAAGTTCTCTCTCTGTGGACAAATCCCGAATATACTCTCCTGCCTAGTTATTGGCCATTGAGCTTTTTGTTTTTTTTAATACCAATCACAGCAATACATATTCACACAAGTGTACAAATATCCCACAACTTTAAGACATCCAATTCTCAATCAATGGAAAATGAGAGGGGCAGCAGTGCCTCCGTAGACAGTTCAGCCTTACACATCAGTAGTTCTCTCCTAACCTCACTGAACACTTTGTACCTTCTAAGATTCCATATTTAAAAAGTTAACCATATGAGCTCCATTCTTTTTTTAATTTCTTGTATTTTTTTTTTTTTTTTTTTTTTTTTTTTTTTTTTTAGACAGGGTTTTTTTTTTTAGTTTTGGGGCCTATCCTGGCCCTTGCTTTGAAGACCAGGCTGGCCTCGAACTCAGAGATCCGCCTGCCTCTGCCTCCCAGTGCTGGGATTAAAGGCATGGGACACCAACACCCGGCCTAATTTCTTGTATTTTTGAGGTTTTAATATAATTATATCATTTCCCCTTTCCCTTCCTTTAAATCCTCCCATATACTCCTTTTTGCTCTTTTTCAAATTCATGGCCTCTTTTTTTCATTTATTGTTATTCCATGCATATAAATGTATATTTTTAAATATAACCTGTTCAATCTGTATCATGCCACTTGTATAAATTGCATGTACATTTTCTGGCCAACCAGTGGTATTAGATAAGTGTACTCTTCCTTGGAAAAGACTATTTCTTGCTCTCAGCATTCCTTAGGTACCAGTAGGTCTTTGTGAGGGTTGAGACCTCCTGGGTTTTCCCTGGTCCACTCTGGCGTGGCTACTGTTATTGTCCTTATTTGGGTCATGTTTAGGCAGTCATGTTGTCAACTTTATGGGGGTAGCTTCTGACCTTACCAGAAGACACAGTCTCACAAAAAATTCCCATCTTTTGGCTCCCTCTTCCACAATGTTTCCTGAATCTTAGGTATAAGTAGATATTCACTGGGACTGGGTGAACTACAATCTTAACTAAGAAATGAAGTTAACAAATATATAATAAAAGCTATAAACTTTAATAGCATAAATTCTAATGATCTTTAAAAGATGTTTATTGGCCCTTGACTAATATTTGGGCCTTTGAGGGATTTGACTGAACCCAGAATGTGAACTATTTCAAGCATTTTTTTCTTTTTTAAAACCAATGGAAACTGGAAGATGAAGATGAGAGACATGGGCCCAAGATCTCTGTCAGTCAAACTCAAAGTTTACTGTTTATATTAAGAGACCAATTCTTTATGAAACACACACACACACACACACACACACACACACACACACACACACACACACACACACAGAGCTTTGTACCTCCTTTACTGCTAGTATGAAATGAAATGGCACTTTTCAGCTGATTTTGATAATACACAAAATAGTACTACTTTCCGTTAGGAAATTATATGAATAAGTAAACAGAAAAATTCATCAAAGTTGTAATAAAGTTTCAGTTCAAATCTTTTAAAGTAATAGCTTTCAGTTACATGATTTCAGAAGTGAGTTATTACTTAAAGTTTTAATTATTTATTTAAATTACTGGTCAAAGTACTTACGTTTGCAAGGCTGCATTGGTTGCATTGATGAGGTTTCTATCAGTTATCTTTTCCAGTATTAACAAGGCACTAGTTTCATGACCCTAAAATTGTGGCAAATAGCTCTTAAAAAAACAGCACACTATTAAGAATAAACATACAAACTCAACCATCTCTAATAAATGTACAAAATTACATGCATCACAATTTTTCTAAGCTAATGTCTGAAGTATTTATTCAAAGGTATCAGAAATGGGAATAAGAAGACAGATCAGTAAGAGTTAAGTGTTAAGCTTGTGTTTCAAAACCTAGTATGCCACACCCCCACCTCCAAGAAACTCAGTGTTAGTAATCATTAGGTTTGGTTCCGACTTCTGTTCATTTTAGTGAGTTGGAAAAACTTAATTACACTCAATAGTAGTCATAAAAATACATCCTTAAACTATATACATACCTTGCCGCAAGCTAAGTGAAGGGCGGTGTTTTTACTCTTATCTTGTAAAGTCAGATCTGCACTAGCACTGCTAACCAGCATCTCTGGGAGGGAAAATTCCATCAATTACTATGTTTATGAACGTGTTTCTTAGACTACCAATAGCTCAGTATAGAGAAATGAAGACATACAGCAAAAAATATCCCTCTTGCAAATACTTAATTTCAAGAAAAACACAGTAATACATAACAAACATATTATATTACCATATAATTATAAGAAACTTTCATATTCTTGTGCAATTTAGATGGTAGCAACAATAATCAATATTTTGGAGTGTTAATAAATTTCAAAGTTTTATATGCCCTGGATTTATAGGTTTATTTAATCCTCACACCAATCTTTTAGTAGATGCTATCATTTTTCTCATTTCCCAAATGAACAAACTGAGGCAGGAGGTCACATAAAATCTAGGACTCATACTCATGCAGTCTGATTCCAGAGCCAGTGTTGTTAAATCATGAGGTTATAGTACTTTGATAAAGAAAACTTTTCAGTCAGTAAAGGCTCTAAAATGAAAATGTAGAATGGTGAGATAATTCATGAAAGTCAGAAGGGTGGCAGGGAATCTTAAGTTTCACACATAGAACAATTAAAATAATAATTTTTAAAAAAGCAACATGGGTTGTGCTTTACTACCTAGCCCAGAGTATTGCAATTTTCTGACAGGCTCTTGGGTAGCTGAGTTATAGGTGCATACT